AAGTTCATCCATGGGAAATTGGAGGAGCGGCAGAGTTAGAGCGGACGAGGGAACATTTCGGAGGCTGGTTCTTCTCGGGAAAGAATGACCAGAGTGGAGCAGTTACCTTCGTAGCGTGACAACAGAATTGGACTTCGTTCGAATACTGGAAGACCGAGAAGTTAGCGAGATACGAGGGAGAGAAAGAGAGAGAAGGAGAGAGAGAGAGAGAGAGAGAGAGACGGAAAGGAGAGAGTTCACACGGGGAGCTAGAAACATCAGAGTCACGCGAGAGCCACGCTCACAAATGAGAGCGCGGCACATGCATCCATCAAGCGTCGTCATTCGTTCCCAGCATGCACGTGGAATACCATGCTGGTTGCACGAAAGTTTTTCTCGCGACGCAACTTCGCGAATATGAGCGTCGACGGGCATTGGGCGGCGTGTCGAGAGCAGAATTAGATCTCGAGCTCACGCGAATGGCGCGGTTAGAGGGAGCGGAGCAATTCAGGAGAGGCATATCGATGAAAACGTGAGACAGGACGCGGTTGGGAGGTTGACTGGAAGGACCGCATAGGCGCCCGTTGAATCGACATCAGCACGGCGGAAGACGCCAATTTAGGGCACCGATGTTGGTTAGCGGCCCAGCAAGCAACATATCAGTCCAAACAAAACGAATTCGCAGCCACCTGGGCACCAGACGCACAACAGTTCTTATTTCTTCATGGTAGTGACGGAAGGAATCCAGCATCAAAGAGGTGAACGAGCAGAAAAAATGAGGTCGGGTTCACCGACGCGAGGGGAACGCATTTCTATGCGCGGGCCAACCAGGACATTAGTTAGGCTCCCCAGCGAGGACGTTGAGCCGGACGCGCGCGGTAAGTTAGTGAGATCCATGCATGGCGCCAGCGACGCGGCAAGTAATGGGGAGGGTTGATACATGGATTTCGCCATGGAGATTGGGCTTACCAGCGGATTCGATCCGCCGCGCGCGTCTACCCTTGGAAGGAGGACGGGGTAGGCAACAGTCCACGGTGGCGGTTTCGCATTCGTGGGTAGCGACCACGATTAGGATTGGTTCGAGCAGGACTTACAGAAGGCATTCGAAGTTCCAGCCAGAAGAAGCTTGGGGCGGGAAGTAAAACACGAGGAGGATCAAAGCATCCGGATTGGACACGGCAGTTGATTGGAACAGCGATGGGTCACGGCATGAAGGGGGCCAAGGACACGAAGGGATGTTGGTCAAGGAATTGGAGTTGGAACAGAGCAGAAGTTAGTCCAGCGAGCCCGGCGAAGAGCTGCCCATCAGCGAGATAAACGGGGCGGAGTCATATCCACAGCATACGCGCACATTCACGGCGTTGGTGGCCCTAGTTACTTACTTAGCACAGGACCGGTCGGACATTCAATTCGCGGCAATGGGTTTTCTAGGCACATGGCCAAGCCTACGTTTGAGGCCTGGAACATTCTAGAGTAATTAGGGGGCGCCTCATCGCCATAGACGATACCTTTTTTTTATCAGGTGTCGCACTCTTACCCCAGGAGCTGGCGGCGCGGACTGACGCCGACCACGGCAGGTGCAAGAACAATCGACATTCAGTAATTCAGGGCAGGCACATTCACGAAATCTTGGGGCAGTATTCAAAGTGTGATTGCATTCTCATATGGCGGAGCATGCTGCGCTCAGAGACTTCGACATCTTCGCGACCCAGAGTGATGCTGTAACAGCGATCGCCATGACTGGTAGGAAGGACCGGGGACAAGTCTGACGTATGACACATCAAGGGATGTCAGTTACACGTGCAGGAAAAAAGTCTGGCGAAGTGATATCAAAGTGGTGGAGGTAGGCACCGACGACAACCTCGCCGACGCATTAACCAAATGCGTCAGCAGCGATACGCTCGTTAAACACATGAGCGCCACCAACCAAGCTGGTTTGCAAGGGGGACACAGGTAAACACCCGTCACCAAATGCAAAGGCTCGTTGCAGCTGTTTGCGCCCCAATTTTAACCGTGCTGATTACTTTTCTCTAATCCCTTGCTGGACTCATCAGCCGCCCTTACGTCGCGCAGCCGCGGGCCCGACTGGGCAGCCCAGCGGCGGAATTTGAGACGCCAGCTGTTACCATGATGTGCGATGGTGGAGAAGTACCAGCGCACGGGCGCGCCCATGGAAATTCCGCGCTAAGACAAGCCTGGCGCAGGTTTGATGACCGAACAAACATTCTCCTGGCGGTTGCCCATTTGCGCATTGCCCCCAGCATCGCTGCCATGAGGCACCCCAACAATATCCATCGTCAGCGGCACGAGTCAGAGACGCACGCGGGGACGCTCGAGGCCAACGTCGACGCGCTAAACTGGTCCAAGACCGTCGAGGAGGAGAGGCGCTTGCTTTGGGCGCCGCAAGGTGGCCAGGAACATGGCAGCGATCGTCGGGCTAGTACACCAGATCGGATACGTTGTCGCACAGCTACCCGCGCCGGCGCACTGGAGCACAAACGCCATTGTCACGTGCGCAGTGGGCGAGATCGAGCGCCGTGCGCACTCCGCACCCCACGGCTCGTTAACTGGCGCCCAGACCGCCGACCGCCCCGATGACGTCAGAACGCCGCCTCCGCCAACGCCCCGCGCGCTGCCTGAGGCCAAGCCCGCGCGGGCAGCGGCGCCGCCGTTGCCGCCCGAGGACCACGGAAGCCGCGCCGTCATCTGGCGCGAGGCCTCCGCCCAAGGTCGCGCCTGAGGGACTCGCCGAGAAGTCGCAAACCTCGTCGAAGTCCGAGGGCCCGCTTGCCCAGCGAGCCAAGCCGTCGGAAGGCGGGGCCAAGCGGAGCCGCTCAGTTAACGAGATCTCTGACGAATACAGGCCCCGTTCTCGCGGCCGGCCACGCGGCGGCGGCGGCGCGGCCCGCGGCGAGGGCTTGCCGAAAGGACCCGACGTTGGGGGTCTACCAAGCGAGCCCAAGGCCCAGGTGGCAGCGGCGCCGCCTTTGGCGGACACGGTTCGGCCTCCTGCGCAGCCGCCGCCCCCGGAGACGTTTGCCAGCATCCGCGCTCGAGCTGTCGTCGACCGTCGCGAGCGCCCTCAGCTGCGCGCGGAGAGGGAAAAAGGCGAAGACGACCATCAGCGCGACCCGATTTTCGTCGTTCCCCCACCGACTATGAGTGGCCCACCCAAGCCTTCCTCTCGTTCGGGAGGAGTTGCTCGGGCAAGTGGGCTGACAACGACGCGTGGCGGGAAATCGCGGACCTTGCGGGGCAGGTCATCCCCGAGGATGATTGCAGGGACTACCGCTACAGCTTCCAATTCCGCTGTGGCGACGCGCGCAAGCCGCCGCCGTTGCCGCGTCCGCAGGGGCCAGAGGAATGGGGGGACGAACTACCTAGTACCGGCGCGACACGCACGACTCGCGGCCTGCCCAGGCCAGCCATTTGCAGGCCAAGTTGCCCCATAAACGTTCGTTTTCTATTCAGTTCGCGTCAGCTCGATGCGGCGTGCACCGAGCTGCGGCCTTTTTTTCCGGGCCCTCCACCAAAAAGTGCCTAAAACTCAAATGCTCGCCCAAACATCACCAGACATGCAAGGGAAGACGAGTTACTCGTCATGTTTGGGACGACGTTTGGCGTGCAGTGGGCAGGTTGCCCAATGGTGTTCCCGAGCAAAGTTGTATATGAGGAAACTCATCGTAACAAAGGTGAACTAAGCACTGGCACCTGCAGCATGCGGATCGCAAAGGAAGAATGTGCCAAGTTCTGCATCAATTTTCTTGTCGGGCTCGTCATTTACAATGGGCAGCGCGCGGCGCCCGAGCAGTTATGCAGGGACGGATGGAGAGCGCCGCGCTCAGCCCCCGGGGTCTGTTGGTATCAGACCAAGTTGAAATGTCGTTATCCGCCACCCATCGGGTGGTTCACAACGGTGAGGAGTCGTGCCCGATCGCAGATATTCGCCACCGGTCCACGCACCGCAAAGAAACAGTGTGTTGGCAGGCTTGGTCGCCAGCCATTGACTTCGAGTTGCGGGTTGAACGAGGTCGGTGGGTCGCAGACCTGTGCACGGGCATTGATTTACTCTGCGTGCGGGAGTTTGACCCTGCGTCCCCAAGTTACCTTCGCAACCCAAGCCGTATTTTCTGGGAGGCGATGGGTCGTTTTCGCAACATTGTGGAATCCAGTGTTAAATGCATCAGGCAGGACGATTCCGGGTGCTGGTTAGATGGCAATGAGCACGACATGGCCTGGAGGTCGAAAGTTCTCTGCGATGCGATCAATGCGACGAGCCGTTACCCAGCTGTTCGCTCCGACCACATTCCAGAGCAGGCGCGCTACCAGGGAGGTCAGGCTGCCACGCTGGCCAGGTCGGTTAGCCGCTTTCTCTGCCGTTTGGTGATATTGTATGTCCTTTATCTTCTCTCCCCCATTACCTATCACTGGAGATGTTAGCAAAGTTGCGCTTTTTTTGCGATGCGGCACATAAACGCGCACCGCGCGTTAGGAGGCCCCTGCACGTTTGCGCCAATTCTTTGGCGCCTTCTGCTTGTGCAGGTTTGCGTGCTACTAATGGTGCAGACTCCTTCAGCTGAGTTGGAGACTCGGCAAACCGTCCACTTGAGGTTGTTAGCCCTCGTTCGGTTCGTTTTATACATGTTTTTCACCTGTCGCACTCGTCGGCCATATTGGCCGAGGGGGGTTTTCGAACGTGACCTATGCGAGTGGGTGAGGAGCATATTGGCGCACTTACGTCGAACCGCCGTCGTTACCGGCACTGTTTGGCTCAAGCATTCGATCCGCGGAGCAGTCGTTTTTCCGCCCACGGTTGACAATTTCAAATCATTACCAAGCAAATCTTCCTCGTGAATTTGAAGGAGGAGGCGCAGGAGCAGGAGGAGGAAGAGGAGGAGGAGGGAGAGGGAGAAGGAGAATGAAGAGGATCAGGGCCGAACAGGAATGATGAGGGATTGAAGAGGAGGAGAAGCAGGAGGAGGAGGAGGAGGATAATTGCGGGCGGCCGAAAGAATCTCCAGGCTGAAAGGCTGGCGCCACCTGAGCAGCGCGTGGAACATGGAGGTCGGCCCCGCCTACGAGGAGAAGCGCCGCGATTGCCGATCACATCTCAGCCACGCGATCTCTGGAAGTCGTTGCTACCTGTGCTTTCTGCGATGGCCAAGGATTTCCTGGGTCGGCGCTGGATCCCCCATACCCCCCCTGCCTGGGCGGCGCCTCTGGCGCCGCCCCCGGCCTTCCTGGGGCCCAGCGCCGACCCAAGCCATCTTGAAGCTTACGTATGTTTCTGTCAGCGTATGTTCTTCTTTGAGAAGGGGGCACTGTGGCATCCATGGATTGGCGAGAGACCAGGCATCGACAAGTCGCGTCGACATCATCAAATAGCCCTTTTCCTGGCGGGAGCCCGCTAACGATCTGGACGGGAGTGAGGAGGGAGGAGAGCGAGGGGCAGGGAGGCAAGCTAGGTGTGCTCGTGCCGTATCTGACATCCGACCCCCCCCCAAATCATCCCTTCCCAGTGTGCTGAACTTGGTCAATCCGCCGACGGGAGCCATGACAGACCCCAACGTGCATTGCGGAACTAGAAACGGGGAGTTGAGCACATGGAGAAGGAATGGCAGATGAGCAAGAATCTGAGCTGGAGGAGAAAAGAGGAGGACGAGTGGGAGCAGCATCAGCAGTAGTGGGTGCAGGAGGATCGGGAGGAGCAGGAGGACCATGGGAAGACGGAGGAGAGGAACGGCGTGGGGCGACAACGGCGAGGAAGTCTTCGGATTCAGAAGTGAGGCCCACGCTTGGGCGAGAGCGCCGTCCTGACACAGCAGGAGCAGAGAGCCGATGTTTCAAAGAGGCCAACGCTGAAGCTTCAGCACAATTTGTGAAATCCCGAGGACAGTCCGAGTGGAAAGAGCAAGGTAACAAACCGTGTGGTGAACATGTCCATTTGTTAGATAGAGATGTGTATAATTTTCATATCTATGTATATACATATACAAATACACATCTGGCACCACCGAGGTTGTTCGCAATATCTCATCTTATGCAGTCTGGAAAAAATTGAAGATGGTACCGCCTTCCCTGGACATACAGATCGTGCGCATCAAGCGATTGCAACGCGTTGCACGCGAACCTGACCATCACGCTCAATTGCTAGCCCGTGTTTTTTGGCAAACCATTCTGCGAGTCCACGACGACGTTGGACTTCCCCTGGGCCCCTGTGCACACAGCCTCTACATACAACGCTCGTGGCTCCCCAGATGGTAACGGCCCCACACATATGACCAATCCTTGGCGCAAGCAGTTCTTTGATGACATGAAGTTGCTGAATGTATTTGCAGACGGACGAGCATGCCTAGACGTCATTGGCGACGATCTGCTCGACATTTTTCGACCGACACCTGGTCGAGACGTGTTTATCAAACCAACGATTGCACGTGTACGAAAGTGGTGGATTGCACAGCCCGTCCCACCACCCCGCAGTGCTCCAGATGCAACAGTCGCCTGGAGTAGCCCCCATACGTGTGGCCTTCTATGTGCGCATGGAGCGTTCTGCCTGTTCACGGCCGAAACAAAACAAGCGCTCCGAGTACACCAAACGATGAGTGGGGAGGGTGGCGAACACGGCCGAATATGCGAACATACGAGATTCACGATTACGAACCAATGCCCTAACTGCCGATCGACCTTCGCGAGCCCACAGACTGCGATCAATCATCTTGCTGCTGCTTATCGTTCTGGGCGATGCCAAAAACACCGCTCTGTTTACAACTTCGAGGTGAACGATCCTCCGCATCTGTTTTGCCCAAGTGACGTATGCGAGCTCACCTTCGCTACCCTCGGCGAGTTGCAAGCTCACGCTGCGACAGAGCACCTTCCCGAACCTCGCCCGCATGTCGTGGATGAGCTCATTGCCCAACGCTGGAGAGCACGCAGGCGCAGCCGCGGCAGATGCGGCACAGCCTGCTCACAAGTCCCGACGCCGCCAGCCCACCGGCCGTGGAAACCAACAGAGTGGGTCGAAGTCCAAGCTGGTGGACCTGCAGTCGCTCGACTTGGAGGAGATGGAACTGAAAGATATTCAGCGCATGTTCCCCATTGTCACGAAGCTACGATTCAACGTTGCGATGAGGCAGCGCCAGACCGACGCCATACTGATCAAGACGTACCTCGTCTCACCTGGCACGAAAAGCGTCGTGGCGATCCGAACTCGTGTTCGCGCATGGGTAAAAAGAGCCGAAGAGATACGAAGTACGACGACGGCACCACAGATCGATGCGGAGATGGCGAAGATCGGCACGATCAGCACCGCAGCCTTCGCAGGTCTGCTCGAAGGTCTCCATCAGGAAGGCGCGTCCGTCGGCGGCCTCAACCAGCAGAACCTGACAGCGCTGGGCGAGAAGCTGAAGACCATGGACATCAAGCAGGTCGTCGAGCTCGCCCCGCTCGTGAAGGCCAGCGACGCGCACGACGCCGCGCAGTGCAAGCTTCAGATCAGCCTCAACCCCAAGAGCGACGTCGACCTCAGCGTGATTCACGAATCATTCATCCAGACGGGAGCGATCTACAAGCCAGGTCAGGGACCGATGGTGCACATGGAGAGGATCCTTCACACGAAGCTGACGCAGTTAGAGGACGTGACCATGGGATAGATTTCTACGCTTTCAACTGGGCAAGACATAGTTGTGCGCAATGGGACACTTGTATCCCGAAGAATACTGTGACGACGGGCAAGGGGAGCCTCTCGCCTGCTTCTGGGTATGCGCCAACTCCTACGCCAACTGTTCAGGGCATGGAGAGCCCACCACACGCATCTACGAATGCGCCTCCTTCGACGCCAGCGGTTCAGGGCATGGGGTGCCCACCTTCTGCATCACAGAGTGCGCCTACGCCATCAGTTGTTCAGGGCCTGGAGAGCCCACCCTCTGCTTCACAGAGTGCGCCTACTTCAGTTGTTCAGGGTATGGAGAGCCCACCTCTTGCATCACAGAGTATTCCGACTTCTACGCCAACAGTTCAGGGCATGGGAGGCCCACCTCAAGCATCGCAGAGTGCACCCACCTTTATTGCAGTCGTTCAGGGCATGGACTGCCCACCTATTGCATCTACGAGTGCGCCCTCAGCAGTGGTTCAGGGCATGGGAAGCTCACATCGAACACCTACGAGGGCTACCCCTTCACGTACCCGTACTGAGATGTGGACAGCTTCGCTGTTAGCACACGCCCGCGCCCTTGCCCAGGCTGGAAAGCAGAGCCGCTCTGAGGACCCTGAGCCTAGCCTGCCCAGCGCCCCTGAACCCCCTACCTCGTCCTCCGAGCCTCCTCTTCCTCCTCCTCCTCCTCCTAAGAGGCCCCGCAGGCCTGCCGTCCCACCGCCAGCTCGCACTACTTCTACTCACAATTCCCGTGGCTCGTCTTTTCCTCCCACTGCTGCCAGACAAAGCACAGGTGGTGATTCAAGGACGATGGATGCCATCATGAGACTTGTAGGAACGAGCAGGCGCTAAGACCTGCGTTTCGTTTCCTGTCAGTGTGTGACCGTGTGGTTTATTTTCGGGTGTAGCCCGATCCTAGAGGCACTCAGCGTCTGAGACATCCGTACTGCTGCCTCCGAGGGGTCCGATCCGATCATATACAAATACAAATACCTATATAGACCTATATATACATATGTATTTTATATATATACATATAATAATAATAATAATAATATATATATATATACAAAAAAAAATGAAACAAGTTGCCCCGATCGGACAGGATCTGGAGAGAGATCATAATATTCTTGCGAAGGCCTTCTGGCCGGTGCCGCCCACCCTGAAGGCGTGACCCCCCCCCCGGGAACCCCCGTTGGCGCTCCCCCACGGGATCCCTGCCGGGACCCCACGGGGGAGCGGCATTCTGACCCAGAACCATTTCCCCCACCACAGGCGGGACCTCCACCGGGACCCTCGCTAGCCCCCCCGGAGGAGGTGGTCCCCTCGTTTTCGTGTCTACAGGGGGGACCCCCCCCCCGCGGGACCCGCCAGCGACCCCGGGAGGCCGCAATCTGACCGGGGACCCCTCCCCCGACCCCCCGCCCCCCAGTACCCCCCGCTCCTTCCTGTAACCCCCCTACCCCCCTCCCTGTTCCCCCCCTCCCCGCCAGGGACGGGAAAAAGGAGGGATATCGACGTAAGTATGAGGTTTCTCTTCTCTGCTCGTCCCTCGTTCTCTTGGGACTGGCGACGACGACAACGACTAAAAAACGACGACAGCGTCTCGCACACGCCGAAGTGTCGGCGGATTCATATGGAGGACATGTAACTCACCAGGGAAGAGGGACCATGGACACTTGGCGGTGCAGACGCAGCCGCTGTTTTGCATCTATCGGATTTGTCCTTGATCCCCTGTGTCTTCCAGCGATCGGGGGAGCAAAGCTGGGTTGTTTGGGGAATGTGAGGTGAAGAGTGTTGTTTAGTCGCTTCGCACATTCCGCCGGCCCTGGAGCGCTATTTGGGGCCTCTTGGGGCCGTCTTGGGGGCTGCTTGGGGGCTTCTTGGGATCGTCTTGGGGCTCCTTGGCGGCGTATTGGGCTCCCCTGGGGCCTCTTGGGGGGCTCTTGGGGGCCCCTTGGGGCGGGAGGGGGGGTAGTCGTTGGCAGCCCCCCCTCGGAGGCCACGATTCTCGTGAGGGGTGGCGAAAAATAGCCTCCCCCCTGGGGATCGCCCGAGGATCAGCCGGGGATCGGCCTGGGTACTTTCGTCCGGGGGCCCCCAGGGGCCGTCCCGCGCGCGCGAACTAGAAATATTGTTAAGTAGTTACCGGAGATCTTAGCACGCCTCTGGCCCGTTGGGCCAGCGAATTCAGGGACGCTTCAGGCCCACCCAAGACGGTCCAGTACGCCTGGCAGCACCCAGGGACGCGAGACCTCAGTCGGAGGCACGTACATTGGCGTTCCGCCAGGGGTCGAGGTCTGATGTGGATGCTTGGGCTCAGGGGAGGAAACAGCACCCCGACCCCCACGATTGGCGTCTACAAAACGGCCTTGAGCGTTTACTAAACAGCCCTGTCCTGTTCGATTCCTTCCGTGGGTGCGTTTACTAAAAGGC